GCAGGTCGAGGCTGCGGTGGCCGGGAGCGGCCACTGCACTACAGTCTGGGCGACAGAGTGAGACTCCAACTCAAAAAAAAAAAAAAGTAACTTTTGGCCAGCTCGGTGGCTCAGCCTGTAATCCCAGCACTTTGGGAGGCCGAGATGAGTGGATTGCCTGAGTCCGCAAGTTCAAGACCCGCCTGGGCAACTTGGTGAGACCTCATCTCTACAATAAAAAAAAAAAAAAAATTAGCTGGGCATGGTAGCGCGTGCCTATAGTTCCAGCTACTTGGAAGGCTGAGGAGGAAGGATTGCCGGAGCCCAGCAGGTCAAGGCTGCGGTGGCCGGGAGCGGCCGCTGCACTCCAGTCTGGGTGACAGAGTGAGACTCCAACTCAAAAAAAAAAAAAATTAACTTTTACTGGTGTAATCTGAACTGCTGTAATTCATTATATCCCTCAAAAGGAAAGGAAGAGTACCCTATCTCCACTTTCCAGTATGAGAGCTTAGATTTACTCAAAGAAGCGAATGAGGAAGCACTCTTCTGTCAGTCAAATATTTCAAGCCTCATCTAAAACTTAAGGAAGACCAATGAAAAGGGAAGGGAATAATCATCACGGAAATGACTTGCCCTCAAACAGTATCCCTAATAAAATCCACACAGAGCATCAAAATTCTTGGAATCTGACACAGAGGGAGACCAACAGGAAGAGCCCTTCATTCAGTCCCATCCCTCTCAAAGCAGCCCATGGAGGAGAAGGTGGTGACTTGGACCAAGGGAGGGGGATGCCAGTGTCCCCTCAGCTGCAGACCCAGCAAGATGGCAGTCTGAGGGTTGGCTGTTTGGCTCTTTATTTAACTAATGACTTAGATGCTTACCACAAAGTTGGGATCCTTAAATGGCAGGGATTTGGCAGCTTTTTCCCCAGGTCCTGTGCTAAACTCAGAGGGCACCATTTTATTCTCACCCATGGCCTCCATGCTGATACCCTGAGAACATAATAAGAATGGTTTGATGTCGGTTTCTTCCAGCTGAATTCCCCACTTCTGCTCTCAACAAGATAGTTCCACAGGACATGAGGGGAAGACCGTATGCGCAGAGCTCCAGCAGGTGGTCTGCTCAGAGGAGGGTGTGCCAGATGGGAAGCGTCACCACTGCACAGAAGACAAAGGCAGGACCCCAACTGGCATTGTTTCCCAGCCCATCTGTGTCAAGTGCAGGGATGGCTGTCCCACCCAAGCTAGCTCATTTGATTCTGGAAACCACTACAGAGTAAGTGCTATTATCCCCAGTTTACAGGAAAAATAAAAAACAACTTAGGTTCAGGGTACGGGTTCAAGGCTACACAGTGGTTGACCTGTGGATAAAAACTCAGGTTGGGCTAATTCTAAAACCCTCACCATCTCCAGGATATCACACAATCCCTACTCCTACTGATCTTGTCAAGTCTTGAAAAATTAAGACAAAAAAGGTCCAGCCCCTTTCAGGATCTAGTAAGCCACAGAAGCCAGGCTGGAGACAGTATGCTTAAGGGGCACACTATACCTAGCATGGGCATTCCAGGGAAGGAAAATGAAAGGGAAGCTGGAGGCCATGCATCGGACAGTGCCCAATAAGCTTTTTTTTTTTTTGAGTTGGAGTCTCACTCTGTCATCCAGGCTGGAGTGCAGTAGCACACTCACGGCCACTGCAGCCTCAGCCTGCTGGGCTCAGGCGATCCTTCCACCTCAGCCTTCCAAGTAGCTGGAACTATTAGACATGTGCTACCACACCCAGCTATTTTTTTACTTATTATAGAGATGAGGTCTTGCAAAGTTGCCCAGTTGCCTCGGCCTCCCAAAGCACTTTGATTATAGGATAGAGCCACCATGCCCAGCTACACAAGTGTTTAAAAGTAAATTATTATTTTTTTGAGTGGGTTCCCCCTTGTATACATAGGTAGGAATGAGTCCTGCTGACTTGAAGAGATAATGGGGAAAAGTTTTGCACAGGAGGTCACATCTAAGTTTTTTTTGTTTGTTTTTATGTCGGAGTCTCACTTTGTCGTTCAGGCTGGAGTGCAGTGGCACGCTCATGGCCAACACAGCCTCAACCTGCTGGGCTCAGGTTATCTTTCTGCCTCAGCCTTCCAAGTAGCTGGAACCACAGGTGCATGCCACCACACCTGGCTAGTTTTTTGATTTATTGTAGAGACGAGGTCTCACCAAGTTGCCCAGGCTGGTCTTGAACTCCAGGGTTCAGGCAATCCTCTCACCTCGGCCTCCCAAAGCGCTTTGATTATAGGCTTGAGACACCGTGCCTGGCTACACAAGTTTTTAAAAGTAAATTCTGTTTTTTTGAGTGGGTCCACCCTTGTACACATAGGTAGGAATGAGTCCTGCTGACTTGAAGAGATAATGAGAAAACGTTTTACACAGGAGGTGACATCTGATTTGTTTTTTGTTTTTTGTCGGAGTCTCACTCTTTCGCTCAGGCTGGAGTGCAGTGGCATGCTCATGGCCAACGCGGCCTCAACCTGCTAGGCTCAGGTTATCCTTCTGCCTCAGTCTTCCAAGTAGCTGGAACCACAGGCACATGCCACCACATCTGGCTAATTTTTCGATTTATTGTAGAGACAAGGTCTCACCAAGTTGCCTGGGCTGGTCTTGAACCCCTGGACTCAGGCAATCCTCTCGTATCTGCTTCCCAAAGTGAATATGTTGAATATCTATCAGATATACAGAATATAAATGAAATAATATGTGTCATTTCATAAGCACAGAAAAGCTTTTGAAGACCATATAAGAAACTGGTAGAGAAAAGAATAAGAAGGGAACACTTTGTACTGTTTTATGTTTTAAATTCTGTGCTATGTGTACACATTACTTAATCAACAAAAGAGTTAGGGCTAAAATCATCATGTTGTTACCTGGAATGACATCACGTGATTAACTGAAACAACAGGTTTGTCTACTCTCCGCTAGAATTTTAGCAACTTATCCTGCCAAACTGGCTCCCTCAAGCTCATAAAGAGCTCAATTTACTTATATTAATAAGTGAAAAGGTGAGTGTGGAAGATATGTAGACATATGTTCTATTCCATAGAGACTCACATGTGTATATATATTCATGTGGAAAGGGAAGCGGGGAAGACGAGGCCCACCCACTCTGCTGCAACAGTTCTCAATGGTCTCTCCTCAAACACCTGCCCAGACTTCCTTTCAAGATCTCTCCCCGGACGAGCCTGGACTCCATCCAAGGAGTCCCAGCCTGTGTGCCCTCTCTTCTGTTCCTGCCACCTTCTATCTGGATTGCCCCTCATCTCAGAAAAAGTTCGTCGTTACTAAGTTTTCTCCCCCTCCAAGCTCAGCACAAACCACAAATGTCAACTCTTTAAGAACTAAGAGGCTCCCCACTGGATATCCATATGAGTTTGTGGTTTTCAATATCCACACAGGAAATACAGAAATAGATATACAGGTGTGTGAGGTGCAGGTGTGTACACATACACACACACACACGTCCTAGTGCTGTCCTCTGAAAAGACTGGAAACAATGAACAGGCACACCAGCATCCAGATTCCGCTTTCTAAATACAGCTGGCCCTCCTTATCTGTGGGTTCATATCCGTGGATTCAACTAATCAAGGACTGAAAATATCTGGGGGGAAAAAAGTGTGTCTCCATTGAATATGTCCAGACTTATTTTCTTATCGTTACTCCCTAAACAATACAGTATAACAACTATTTACATGGCATTTACTTTGCATTAGGCATTATAGGTAACTAGACATGGTTTACATTATGGACCCGAGTGTTCACGGATTTTGGTGTCTGTGGGAGGTCCTAGAGCCAACCCTTGGACACTGAGGGACAATTGTATTACTCTGCAAGAACCAGTGATCCTTGAAGAAATGGCAAACTCTAGGGCTAAAGCCAGAAAGTATAAAATAATTCTGGAACATCTTGTAGTGCTAGAAAGTAAGAAAGCACATGTATCTCTTTGCTTGGACTGCCATAACAGAACACCACAGATCAAGTGGCCTGAATGACAGAAAAGTATTTTCTCCAGTTCTGGAGGCTAGAAGTACAAGATCAAGGTGTTGACAGTTTTCCTTTTTCCTGAACCCTGGTGTCTCTCCCTCTTCTAATAAGGGCACCAGTCATACGGGATCAGGGCCCCACCCAGATGACTTCATTTAACCTTTATTACCTTTTTTAGAGTCCCTATTTTCAAATACAGTCACATTCTGAGGTATATTAGGGGTCGGAAGTTCAATACATACAACAAAGAGGCACAGTTCAGTTGATACAGCACTCAAAAAATGATGGGGTCATAGTAAAGGACACTGGAGCCAGTTTGAAGAGGTTCCTACTAGCTGAATCTCGACACCTTGAACAACAATCCAGAATGTGTAAATCCAGAATATATAAAGAACTCTATGGCTCAACAACAAAAATACAAAGCGGAGGGTACCTGAGGGAGTTGCCCAGATTATTATTTTATTCTGTGAGTTATAATTCATTACTAGCTTTATTCATTTATTCTTTCATAAGTGTATTATTTATTTGCAGTAGCTTTATTGAGATGTAATTAAAGAGCAAGGGAATTTGTCAAAGAAGATATACAACTGGCCAATAAGCACCTGAAAAGATGCTCAACATCATTAATCATTAAGGACATGCAAATCAAAATCACAACAAAATACCACTGCATGCCCACGAGGATGGTTATAATAAAAGACAGACAGTAATATGTGTTGGTGAAGATGAGGGGAAATTGGAACCCTCATACATTGCTGGTGAATAGAAAAACAATTTGGTAGTTCTTCAAAATGTTAACCATAAAATTATCACATGTTATCAATAACAACCAGATTATCAACAACTTAATTCCTAGGTATACATCCAAGACAAATGAAAATAAATGTCCACACAACAACTTACACACAAATATTTGCAGTAGCATCATTCATAATAGTCAAGAGGTTGCAAACCACCTAAATGTTCAGCTGATGAACAGAAACAAAACGTGACAGACCCACACAATGGAATATTGTTCAACCATAAAAAGGAACTATGTGCTGATACGTGCTCCATCATGCATAGACCTTGAAAACATTAGACTAACAGAAAGAAGCCAGACACAAAAGGCCACATAACGTATGATTGCCTTTATATGGGTTACCTAGAGCGGTCAAATTCATAGAGACAGAAAGTAGATCCATAGTTTCCAGGGGCTGGCAGCACTGCTTATGGGTAAGGGGTTTCTTTTTGTGGTGCAGAAATAACCAAAAATTAGATAGTGGTTGCATAACTCAGTGAATATACCATAAGACACTAAAAAGAGTGAATTTTGAGCCAGGCACAGGGCCTTACACCTGTAATCTCAGCACTTTGGGAGGTGGAGGCAAGAGGATTGCCTAAGCCCATGGGTTCCAGACCAGCCTGGGCAACTTGGCAAGACCTTGTCTCTATATAAATCAAAAAAATTAGCTGGGTGTGGTGGCACACACCTGCCTGTAGTTCCATCTAGTTGGAAGGCTGAGATGGAAGGATTGCCTGAGCCCAGCAAGTCAAGGCTGTGGTGGCTGTGAGCACGTCACTGTGTTGCAGCCTGGGCAACAGAGTGAGACTCCAACTAAAATAATAATAATAATAATAATAATAAAAGAGTGAATTTTGTGGTACATGAATTACATCTCAAAGCTACTGCAAATAAATAATACATTTATGAAAGAATAAATGAATAAAGCTGGTAATAAATTAAAACTCAGAATAAAATAATAATCTGGGCAACTCCCGCAGGTACCCTCCCGCTCTGGGAGCTTTTCTGTCCTTTCAATAAATCCTGCATTCTCAACAACAGCAAAATAATAATAATAATAAGTATCTAAGATATAAATACTGATATCTAAAAATGAATAAATGGTTGATAGTTCTAGTTGTTTGGGAGACTGAGGTAGGAGAATCACTAGAGCCCAGAAGTTTGAGAGTGTAGTGAGCTACGA